GGACAGTGCTCATGACGGCCGGTGTGGGGCAGAGTGGACGGTGCTCACGACGGCCGGTGTGGGACAGAGTGGACGGTGCTCACGACGGCCGGTGTGGGACAGAGTGGACAGTGCTCACATCAGGAAGCTAAAGTGAAGGTGGGGAGCCTAGCTGAGTGGCTCATACCGTGGTTTTTCAGATTCCCCATGCTACTGAAGTTTGGAGACTACACCAGATTTCTCAATGAGTTTGTGTAAAAATCTCAATGAGAGGTAAGGACTTTGAGAGCTGGTGGCAGGAGGCTCGAAGGAGGCAGAATTTATGATTGAGATAAAAGGCCAGTGGTCCAGAAGTAGCAACAATGGCTTGGGTGTTGGGGGACGAGGCAGGTGCCCCATGCCCCAGATAACGGCCTGTGCTGAGAGCAAAGTCCTGAGAGACTGAGCCGCATCTGAGATCAGGAGGAAAAGAGCCTTTTGGAAATGAGCATTTTCCTACTCTCCAACATGGTTGTTTTCCCAAATCACTTTGGCTATCCTAGTTCCTTTGCTTGTCAATTTCTACTGAAATCCTGCTGGGATTTTGATTGAGATCACATGGAATCCATACAGGACCAGAACTGACATATTTATAGCTTTCCATCTATTTAAGTTTTACTTTATTTCATCGGTATTTCTTTTTTTCATCTGTCTTGTGTAGTTTTCAGTATATATATCTGAACATATTTTGTAATGTGTACCCTTGAAGTGTTTCACATTTACTGTGCTACCTTCATGGTGCTTTCACATTGTCTCTTACTGTGAGTGTGTGGAAATTTGATTTCTATTACTGATCTGGTGTCCTGTGATCTCTCTTAACTCACCAGTTCTAGCAGCTCATTTGTAGGTTTTTTGGATTTTCTTATGTAAGACTTAAATGATGTGCAATTTCATATCTGTAAATTCTGAACTAGTTAGGTCTCTTTCTCCAGAGAAACGGAACCAATAGGAGATAGATAGATAGATAGATAGATAGGTGATAGATAGATACATACATACCTACATAGACAGATGATAGATAGATAGATAGATAGATAGATAGATGATAGATGGATAGATAGATACAGTACATACATACATACATAGATGAGACAGGATTTATTAGGAGAATTGGCTTACCTGATTATGGAGACTGAGAATTCCCATGATAGGCCATCTTCCACCTGGAGACCCTAGGGTGTCAGTAGCATGGCTCAGTCTAAGTCAGAAGCCTTAGCACCAGGGAAGCCAGTGATATAACTCTCAGTCCATGGGCAAGGGCCTGGGAAATAGAGGTGTCAGCTGAGAGTGGGTATAAGTTGTAGAGCACAAAGACCAGAAAGCCTGGAGTTCCAGCAGAGAGAGAAAAAATTCACCTGTCCTTTGATTTTTTTGTTCTCTCCTGGCCCTAGCTGATAAAATTATGTTCACCCACATTGAGGCTGAATCTTCCCCACTCAGTTCACTGACCCACACAACAGTCTCCCCTGGAACACTCTCTCACATGCATCCAAAGATAATGCTTTGCAGTTCTGTGAGTGTCCCTCAGTCCAGGCAAGTTGACGGCTAAAATTTGTCATGACACATTCCAATCTGGATGTCTCGTGTTTATTTTCCCTGCCTCATTGCATAAACTAAAACCTCCACTGCAGAGACAAGTGGAAGTGACGTGTCCTTGCCTTGTTCCTGATTTCAGGGATTAAGGGTGGTGTTAGCTCTAAGATTTTTGTACATGTTCATTATCAGGTTGTAGAAGTTGCCTCCTATTCCTAGTTTACTGAGAATGGCTGTTAAAATTTGCCAAAGTCTTTTTCTGCATCTGCTCAGATGCTCATACACTTCCTCTTCGTCAGTCCCAGACATGGTGAATAACTGTTATCAAGTTTAACTGGTCAGCCAGACTTACGTTCCCATTTGATTGACTTTAACAGGTCAGCCGGACTTACAGTCCCATTTGATTAACTTTAATTGGTCAGCCAGCCGTACGTTCCCATTTGATCGACTTTAACTGGTCAGCCAGCCTTACATTCCCATTTCATCAACTTTAACTGGTCAGCTGGACTTACAGTCCCATTTGATCAATTTTAACTGGTCAGCCAGCCTTATGTTCCCATTTCATCAACTTTAACTGGTCAGCCGGACTTACGTTCCCAAGATAAACAGCAGTTGGTCATTTTGTCCTCAGCTGGGTGAAGTCTGCTCACAGCCCTGTCAAAGGCTTTCATCTCTGAGGCTGTGCTTTTTATTCCTGGCATTTCCAGTGGACTCTCCTTACTGCCTTCGTCTCTCTGTCCAGTTACCTAGATGACCTCTGCATATTGTCCACTTTCTCCACTGGAGCAGGCGTTTGTCTGCATCCATCCTGAGTGAGTGCAAATTTGGGTTAGTCGGCCACCCTGAGACCCACCTGACGTTGGGAATTTGCAGTGTCTGTTGTCTTGCTGTTGTTGAAATGGTGAGTGCCGGCTTTCTACATCCCAGGAGGAATCTGGAATCATGTTCCACTTGATTTTCTTTCCCCTAGGTATATAATTCTTGAGGAACATCCTAACCCTTACAATAGTACTTTTCGATCTTTCTTACCTCACAGCACACTTGAACCTACAGTTAAACTTCCATACTACACTTACTTACATTACGTTGATCAAGAAAAAAGAGTAAATATGAAGAATATACTTACTGGCCTTTGAACTTCTTTCAAAAATAATTTAATCAATGGTCTTTAAAATTTTTGACAGCACACCTAAGAACTTGTCATAGCACACGGGTTAAAAATCACTGCGTTAGAGGCTTATAGGGGCTTATAAATGACGTGCCATTCTCTTTTGCAGTGAATATGCACATATGGGGGAAATCATTAAAGTCAGGCTAATACTGTCTGCCATTCGAGTTTGTGGTAGTCATTAATGCTGCTTAAAAATATGTCTACTCTTTTCTTTCTTTCTTTCTTTTTTTTTTTTTTTTGAAGCAGTATCTCACTCTGCCTCCCTGGGTAGAGTGCCAGGCCGAGGTGACATCATAGCTCTCAGCAACCTCAAACTCCTGGGTTCAAGCGATCCTCTTGCCTCAGCCTCCTGAGTAGCTGGGACTACAGGTACCTGCCAATAGCACCCAGCTAGTTTTTCT